GGGGGTAGGCTATGACATGCAACAAAGCACAGCTTAAAACGATATAATCAGTTTCAAAGTCTGATGAGTATACCTACAAACTTTCCCCAGCTAAATAATATATTATCATTTTAAGCTGCGGGAACTTTGTTGCATTGACCTTTTTTACCTTTTTATATTTTTATATACATAAAAGACATACGGGATACTTCTGGTTGAGAGTTAGAGAAGACTTATACCACTCTTATGTCTGTGTGGGTAAATATGAAGCTAACATTGCAGCCAGTTAGCTTAGCTACAGTAAGACTCCAGAAACTCATTGGAAAAGCAAGTCCAGCTTTATCTTTGCAGATTATAGCTTCATGTGTACCTTACAAACATTAGAGTACTCTAAGTCTTCTCATCTAGAAAACTCTCCTGGAAGCAAACGTGTTTGCGTGTTTACATATTTCAAAATGATAGAAATTAATAAGAATTAGCATGATATAGCATTAGCTGTTTTTGGTGTATGAGTTGAGTGGGATTTCCAATTACAATAAAAACTAAAAATGTAGCTTAAAAGTTACGTAAAAACCCCAATAATACGGCTAACCTTGACATCTTTTTTAAACTTATTTTAGTTTGAATTCGGCTTTCTGGCTTGAGAACAGCTCATAAAACGAGTCATCATGTCTGCCTATTAATTAATTTCCGGTCAGTGATGGTCTCTTTCTGGTAAATGTTTCCAAGGATACAAATGTATTCGGGCGACTTTCTGTAATTATAAAACAATCAATATAGGAATGAATACAGTATAGTATAATCAGTATACCACCAGAAATTTGACTGCAAATTGAGCAGAAGTGAAGGAAGGCCACTCACCAGCCATTTAGCGAGTAGAGAACACTGTCCGGCTCGACTAAAAGCTGTGATAGCATTTCATCATGAGGGGACATTGTGAGACTAAATGTACCATCAGTGAATCTCTGTAAGCGAGTGTTGCGCAATCACAAATGCAACCACTGCTGAGTGTGTCTTGTTAGCAGTGCATTACGGTGCAATCATATAACACATCTCCCGTGGACTTCCACTCACGGGTACCTGTCCTCACTTGCATCCTCTGATTAAACCCGAGCACATGAACATACATGCTCACAAGAGACACCTGTGTTCTTGGTGAAGGCCAACTGCTGAGAACATCTGGGAACAAATAATTGATTGTCCACACGGGATGGGTTAATGGAAGAATTAAACTGAAGAGTGATGAAGACACAGGTGTGAGGAACAGAGAGTAATGGCTCCTATTTATCAGGCTGCATCTTTACTTATTGATAAATGTCCACACCATTACCACCCCACTGTTACTCATCGTGTCTTCTCTTACTCTTTTCTTGCTTTCTCCCATTCTTCATACCATCCTTTCTCTGTATCCTGTCATTCTGGCACACCCTATTTTCCTGTCTTTTTCTTTCCTCTTTCTTGTTTTCCTTTTCTCTTGTTCGCCTTACACTGTCCTTCCTTTATCAACGCTTATATTTGTCAATTTCCCCGCCCATTTCCTGCAGCTCATAGCATCAAACATGGAGGGAAAGAGCAGTCCCAGTGAAGTGTTGGTGTGCACCACCAATCCAGACAAACCAGGCCCTCCATCTACCCCCTGTGTCACCGCAGAAACCCCCTACGGATTCACCATCACATGGGGTAAAGATACGCACCAACACACACGTGCACATGCATTAAACATTCTGGTGCGTTGACCAGTGGAAATACACAAAGTCACAGGGAAACATAACCACCAAAAGTGAATTCTTCTTTTAATTTGAACCCTTTATTTTGATCGTGTAGTCAATTTAAAGACTGCTGAGATACTTAGGATTGCTTTAAAAAGAAAGAAAGCAAAGGTTGGATAGTGTGTACATTTATTATTGGAATAATATAAGAATATAGCTTTAAAATAATCTGGTTTTCATTGGTTTGATTCAAATAAATGTCCAAAGTGTCATTGTTTTTATTAGGTTGTTGCTTTTGTAATCAAAAAGGTCGAACAGAGCGTATTGCAGAGGAAATGTAGTGATGGATAGTCATTGACAAACTGCTGCCTCTGGAGTGTTATCATGAAACTGAATTAGCAGCCATAAAAGTCCTCATGTCTGCAGCCGTCCATCTGTCCTGCGCTAGTACTGCAGCCTGCCCTTTCTCAAATGCACTGATCACCATTTAGATCATTTACTTTACTATAAAAGCTGTAAACACAATGTATTTTTTATGTTAAACAATTTACCTTTAAAGGATGTTGAGTTAGTTGGTATATTCGTGTGATTTGTCCACCAACAACAGCTTGCTTTTTTACTTTTGCTTATTTATTATAACTGTACCACCCGAGGGCGTGCCTCACTGTAATTATTGCTCCAGTGTTGATACAATAAGTATGGAGGAGGCGTGTGGTGCAGTGGGTTGTGCGTTGGGATCAGGGGGTCAAAGGTTCAAACCCCACTGCAGTCAGCATGTCGTTGTGTCCCTGAGACACTTCACCCCAAATTGCTCCTGTGGGGATTGTCCACAGTATTGAGTATGTAAGTGGCTTTGGATAAAAGCGTCTAACATGTAATGTAATGTATGAGAAGTGGCACAGCTGAGGAGGTTGCTTCCAGCAGTTCTGATTTACCTACAATCTCAGAATAAATCATTCCCTATAGCATATTATGCTCCAGTTGCTATCACAACAAATGTAAAATGTTTAGTTTTTTCCAAATAGGCCATATACTACGGACGAGGATTAGGGCCACATTAATTTTTTTTGGGAGGATTTGAAAAAAAAACGTATATTTTTTGTTCTGACTTTAATCTCAGAATTCTGACTTTAATCTCAGAATTCTGACTTTTTTCTCAGAATTCTGACTTTTTCTCAGAATTCTGACTTTAATCTCAGAATTCTGACTTTTTCTCAGAATTCTGACTTTAATCTCAGAATTCTGATTTTAATCTCAGAATTCTGACTTTTATCTCAGAATTCTGACTTTTTCTCAGAATTCTGATTTTAATCTCAGAATTCTGACTTTTTCTCAGAATTCTGACTTTAATCTCAGAATTCTGACTTTTTCTCAGAATTCTGACTTTTTTTCTCAGAATTCTGACTTTTTCTCAGAATTCTGACTTTAATCTCAGAATTCGGACTTTAATCTCAGAATTCGGACTTTAATCTCAGAATTCTGACTTTTTTCTCAGAACAAAAAAAAAAGAAAGTTTTTCAAATCCTCCCAATTTTTGTTTTAATGTGGCCCTAATCCACTTCCGTAATATACACATGAAAACAAAACCAAATGAATCTTTTATTAGCCCCCTTACTACTGAAACGTGCAGCAATTAAATAACTATGCTTTGGCTGAAAGACAGACAATTTGTCACAGTTCCTGACACTTTATGAGATATCCCATAATGTCTTCAGGATTGATGAGGAAGCTTAATGTCATGAAGAGTCTGACGGATGATTTATGAATGTGTTCATCATTTTTCAATTGATGTGTGCTAATACTGAGCCAGTTTTTCTTATTTGATGTCTTTGAAGTGAAGTCATAAATGTCAGCATGCAGATGTTTCACACATATTTCTCTCCTGCTTATGATATTTATAACCCAAACCTTTTTAATCATCCAACAGATCCTCCCCAGGACACCGGAGGCTCAGAGGCTCTAACATACCTGCTAGAGATCTCCGAGGGATGCTCTGAAGGTAGGATCCATATGTCTGAATCTAAAAGTCCATCCATCCATGGGTGCCACTATCCGGCTAATTTAAGTCATTATTCAGTCCATCCTCTTATAAAAGGCTGCTCTAAATGTACCATCCGTCCTCACTCCCCTGTGTTATTTCTCCCTGTGCCTCAATTTCTCTCACTTACTCCCCTAAGAAGACTTGCGTCCTCAATTTACCCTTTGTTAGCATCAATTTAGCATTCAGCATTTTAAGAATTTACCACATAATCCAGGAAACCAAATGTTCTTTTGTTCCTTCAGCAGGGCAAGTGCATAAGTGGTTTAATCTGTATTCATTCAATAATGTCAGAGAAAAATACGTTCTAAGATCTACAGCAGCAGATATCTAATCATATGTTCATCTGATTGCTATCATTCGAGAAATCTGCCCCTGGATTGTCTGCAACTCAAGTCAGTCAGTGGGACTGAATGTGTGGATTTGTCTAGCATGAAAATGTTCAAAGATCAGCTAAGGATCCTTAACTTTGAATTAACCCTGAGAACCTGGCCTCAAATGTATTTGTTAAGTATTTCATATCCATGACTAATACAAATTTCATACTGAGTAATCATTAATAAAAAAGCTTGACCTTTAAAGAGCTCATCGGCTTCATCAGGGTGTGGGTGTCATTTGATCAAATTTGACCTAAAAGCCAACTGTCATATTCTTACATCACATTTTCTTTAAGTGTTACCCATCTTTAAACCAGCGAGAAGACCACGGACAAAATACAGAACAACATCTCTAGTGAAATAATATTAAACATCCTTGCTTTGGTGTTCATGTAGGATTCTATTGCTGACTGTGAAAAATAGGTATTCAGGGCTTTTAAAACTAAAGATACTTTGCAACTATATAGATATATTTTTCACCCACGATTCAACCTCCCCATCTCTGTTTATTTTCTCCATGTCCTCGGTTTTTGTTGTGACCTTTTAAACTGTTGAACTCTCGCTAAATCACACCAGGGGTGAACTCTTTGAACAGCCATGACTAAGCCCGTTTTGGTCGCTGTAAGTAATTACAGTATTATGTGTGCATTGTATGCTTCACTGCTCTGAAACCGATGTTAGGGTAAGCTCAGAGCAGTCACTGAAGTTGTTATTTTGTATCTACTTGAACTCCTCAGTGAGCTGTTGTCAGAGTATGTAAATAACTTAGGTGCAGAGATGGCAAGAGACACTACAGAAGTACAGATACTCCTTTTTAAAAATACTCTGGTGAAAGTAGAAGTACTGACTAAACTTCTTTACTCAAGTCAAAGTAAAGAAGGGCTTTGAAATGTACTTCAGTAAAAAGTACCCATAACTAGCAGCTGTTTTAAAGAGTACCTGACCTCCCTTTATATTAATAGAACAATAATGTCATTGTTAGCTAATGAATGTTTCCATGGTGACCAACGGCAACATGACAACGTTTTCATTGGTCCCTCTTCTTTAGAGAAGACCAGGAAATGATGGATACACGGATCGTGTTCAAATCAATAGGCACGCAATGACTCTAAATAATAATGATCACGCCACCAAACACACATTCAAACTAAAGGAACCAGCCTGTTTGGAAAATGTAAGAAGTACTCCACTACTTCCCACCTCTGCTTAGGTGTAAAATCT